TAGGTATAAGTGAATTGGGGTACAGGTTAGGTCATGGATAGGTGACATTACTTTTGTCAAGTATTTACCGAGTGGGGTTGGTTCCACTTCTCGACGTTTGAGACTCGGGATGTGTACTGTGTGTGTAGAGGCGGAAAGGATACCCAACAACCGACCGCTTGTGCCCGTCACCAGCGACGACCTGCAAGGACTGGCACTAACTCCGAGTGACCTTCTGCTATTGGTACCAATGAAGGTCTACATATGCCAAAAACTATTAGTGGCTGCTATACCTCGGGTTGGGAGCATGCGAACAAGTCTAGATATGCCAAAAACTATCAGTGGTTATTATACCTCGGGTTGGAAGCATGCGAACGACCTGGCACGGGTGTTTTGAAAGCGTTGGACAAGAGAGTACCTGCCAACCCTCGAAGCTCGACAGAAGTGGTTGCACAGAGCACGGTCACTGAAGGTTGGGGACGTTATTCTGATGGCCGACGAAAAGCTACAATGCAACAACTGTCACTGGGTGTAGTCAAAGAAAGCCACACATATTCAGACGGACTAGTAAGAACAGTGAAATTGGAAACCTGTGCCGGTGAACAGGTGCGCGATATTCGGCGAGTGTGTTTATTGTAGGGAGATGACCACCATGCCGTGACCTGTTGGAGTTGTGGAGGCCCGCCATGTATTATATTCACCTTGTGTTAATTGCACCCTACAGTGATATTCATCCCACCTGTATATAAACGCGTGCTTTCATGTCCTTGCATTACGTTCTCTACATTTCATTTCGTGACTGAGTGTCCTTTATCAGATTGATACGTAATTTACGACATTAACCTCAAAAGTGTGATCCATGTCCCCACAACATCCTCCATTCACGTACAAACAATCACCTGCATGCTGAACATGATTTCATTTGTAAAACTTGAACAATAATTACATCGTCCACATTCCCCCTCGGTGTTTACACATCGAGGCTTTATCTGTAATGATATTCCTTTGACCCACTTCTATCAAGTTATTGTGTGACTGGCTGCAAGCGTGCTGATGCAGAATCAATGACCTGCGCCAACCCTTTGACTCAGACGAGCACAGGGAGGATTTTGGTGGCCGGTAAATTTCATGCTGAATGTTTTGAAAATTCTTCCGAACCCATGATGATTCAAGGCGATATGACTCTATCTGTGTGTTGCTTCTCCGTTGACATTTCTCAATCACAAACATCATACATCATTATTTATCTGTTAATTCGATGCCCGGCGATTTGAATGGACGTGATCAGGGAACGTGAGCGACCGTTTGGCTCTCTCTGGACATCATATTTGGCTCGCTTGCTTGAGTGCGCTCGGCCGCATATTTGAGGTTTGCTTTATTGTACATCTTGTAAACATTTATCTGATTTAGTACCGTAGAACAATACGAATCAATTGTGTTTTTACTTCGGGATTCTTATCGGTTCGGCTATGCGTCATTCAAGTGCGAATTGGTTGACCTACACTCACCAAGGCTCATCCGCACTTGTTCCAGTCCTTCGTGTAATTCGCGGATAGCCGGTCCAGCGGTTTGGAGGTTAGGTTGTGTATTGAAGAGTTGATCTACCCTATGAACACATTTAAAGTATTCCTTAAATTACACTGCTATCTCCATCTCATAGTTTACACATTCTCCATCCTCCAATATCAGAGGCCGTACCTTTTCACTGAGGCATCCCATAGACTGGACACAACTATAGTAGCTCTTTGGCTAATATTGGGCAAAATTCGCCAACTTGACCCCGTATTGTCGTTTGAGCACCCGCTGAACGGCCAGTGATTTGTTTCTATCCCTGGTGGACTGCGCCTAGGATCTGTGGCCGCCGGTTGACCTATAGGTGTGCCAGCTCCTATTCCTACGGTGTTTCGCTCTCCTAATCGCTGCCCTCCACTAGGGTGGTTTGCTCTTTGCTGCACTGGATCTCAGCGGAGAGGATTCATGCTGCTGAAGCAGAATGCGGCCAAAATGCTGGTCTCCAGAGTCGTTTTCGTGAATTGGGGGCTGTACGTCAACCAATGCGCACTTGAATGACGCATAGCCGAACCGATAAGAATCCCGAAGTAAAAACACAATTGATTCGTATTGTTCTACGGTACTAAATCAGATAAATGTTTACAAGATGTACAATAAAGCAAACCTCAAATATGCGGCCGAGCGCACTCAAGCAAGCGAGCCAAATATGATGTCCAGAGAGAGCCAAACGGTCGCTCACGTTCCCTGATCACGTCAAATTCAAATGTGCCGGGCATCGAATTAACAGATAAATAATGATGTATGATGTTTGTGATGAGAAATTGTCCGGAGAAGCAACACACAGATAGAGTCATATCGCCTTGAATCATCATGGGTTCGGAAGGATTTTCAAAACATTCAGCATGAAATACAGTGAGCTTAAGGCCACCGAATTCACCGGATCAGATGGCTTTCAGCCAGCCTTAGTTAAGCACATAGCTGAGGTTCTAGGGGACCCAGTCTGCCACCTGTACAACAAAACTCTAGAACAGGGCAGGATAGCAAACGATTTGAAAATGCCGACTGTGGTCGCCATACATAAGGAGGGCCGAGACAAAAGGTGGGAAACTATCTTCCAGTTGGTTTCACAAACATCTTCTGTTTGTTTCAGATGTCCCCCGAATGCTGGAGGATACATTTTCGTCGTGAAGAACGGCTGCACCCTCTTTATAGATCGCATATTATGGACCCAGAAATGATGCCAACCGAAAGCAAACTAAAACATTCTGCATCTTTCCTCTGCTGATCTTCTGAAATAAAAAAATGGGTCTAAGGTGGAACTACGCAAACGATACTGATATGTCCTG